TTAACATTTTTTGCTAATTGTCGTCAAAAATTAGGCGTAAAGCAAAAATTGATATTTCATATGGTTTTATGATAGATAAGCATTATATTCCCACTCATTATATTCGTAAATTTTGAGGTTTATCCTTCGCTTTTAAGATCATTGAATTTGATTTTTATAGAAAATAGCTATATATTAGAAAATAATATGAGTTTATGTGATATTATTTTTCAGAAGATTTCATTCTATATGCCTATGAAAAGTACTCTCAAAACTAACTTTTTCCTAATTATAATTAAATCTAGAATATTGTATTATGCTTAGTATTATTTCATTTTTCTCATTCAATTTAGAATTTACAAATGTCAAAAAATTGAGAGCTGTCACTTTTGATGAATTTCTGTTTATTACACTTTCGATTCTGTGTCATAACGAGGTATAAAAATTTCATTTTACAATGAATTTAATGTCTTTTTTAATAATCTTACGTTCTCCATTTAAAAAATTATATTTCTTTTATAGATCCATCATAATTAATGCACACCATTTTAGTACCTCGACCAAAGCATTATAGATATAGCAATCTTAGCAAGTTCCCTGCATATTATGTCGTTATCCTTTAATAAAATCAGATGGAAATTATTCGTTATTACCAAAAGACGAACTTTATCAGAAGCTTTAATATTCTGGTTATCATTCTTTTCAAAGTTCAAACAAAAATCTGAAGATGTTTTAAATTTTTTTCAAAATGTCTAATATTTTTATCCACTCATACTTGTCAAATCATCCTTTATATATTAGCCGCATTTGATACATTTTCTTTTCCGATAAAATCATTTGCTTATGCAAAGGTGGCACATAAAAGGAGTGATGCTCGATATGTCACCTTGGCTTATGCATCTGTCTACATATCACAATCTTATGATTACTTTTCTTATATTTTTGTTTACGAAGTTAGTTGTCAATGTGATGATGTATATTTCATACCTAAATACGCCTCATATATCCGAATACTGTTAGTTTTTTGTGTCCAAATCTAAAAATTAGATCTCCAATAGAGGTAGAAGAAGAATAGGATGGGTTTAGTGACTTTTTTTGTAAACGTAAGAATTCATACAATATTGAACGATTTTGTATCATTTTTTTTAACATATGAAGTAAAAAAATGTATGATTCTTACGGTTTTTATTCTTACGTTTTTGAATAAATCAAGATTTAAAAAATTTTCAAAATTGTAAGACTTTTACACTCAGCCCATACATAAAAAAAATATATTTCATCTTTTATAAAAGAAGCTATATATAGATGATGTCAGATATTCCGCGATTAATTAAACATTGTTTAAATCCTGAATGGAATCAATGAAGTCATAATCAAAGACCTCATAAACGGGTAAAAGAAATTAGAAATTCATGTCTTACGAAAAATTAAAACTTAGTTATGTTTATTATTTTATTTTTTTATTTTGTTTGAAATGAGCGTCAAAACTAACAACGTTAAAAAATTGGGATTCACAAACGAGGAAATAAAGGATATATTAGAGGAGGCGGGTTATGAGGTTGATAAATATTATTTAAGAAATTGTAAAAAATTCGCGGAGTTTTTAAATGAGTTTGATTATGATGGAAAAATGAATAAAAATGATGTTATAAATTTCTTATATCCCACATCTAAAAAAGAAAACAAACCTAAAGAACCTGATGTTTTCCCTGAATATTATGAAGAACGGATTAAAGATGATGATGAATATGATGAAATTGAAATTGAAAGACTGGAAAAAATAAGAGATGAAATAGATGAAAAAATTAAGGAATTAAGAGAAGTTGAAAAATATAATGAAAATGAAGTAGAGGATTTAATGAATATCCCAGCTTCAGAATCAGAAGTTCAGAAATCTCATGAAGAAAGATATAAAAATTATGTCTCAGAATCAACACAAAATTTATTAGATGGTGAAATAGATGAAACACTTTCAGAAGAAGGAACTAAATTTATTCGTAAACATAAGTTACAATTTATTGATAATGAAGAATACCCCTGTATCCTGCTTTCACCACCTTTAGATTCCAAAAAATTCAAAAAAGCTCTTAAAAACGTGACATATGCAACTAATACGATTAAGAAAGAAGATCATGATATTTACACAAATTATTATTTAAATAAATGCACAGGTGTTGATAAAGTTTTTGATTTATTAGATAAAATATCAAAAGAAACCATTGGAACCTATAAAATTTTGTTGATTGTGGTTTCATTATTGAAGATACCAATAATGTTTCATATGAAAGAACAGCACCGAAGGAAGACGAAGTTGAAAGGTCTATACCATTCGTTATTAAGAACATAAAAGATATGAAAACTTATAAACATTATATTTATTCATTTATTTCAGAAAAAATGGAAGCAACCCATAAAACATCTTCTCATCATTTTATAGCTATTCATACATTCCTTTTCAAAGTTGTGAAATTAAATAAGACAGGAATTAGATTTAATGTATCAGGGTACACATTCTTGAGTAAATTAAAATGTATTCGTCACGTCGCGGATGATAAAAATTTATGTGTTCTTAATTCATTTTATGGGCTTTAAAAAATAAACTTTATTTTTATTTATTTTTTAATTTTTTATTCTTACATAAATGAACAAAAACGGAACAGCTAAAATGAATGATAATCAAATTAGAGCAGAAGGTAGAAGGTTATTTAAACGCTTCTATAACATTCCTGATGGTGTTAATCCTAAAACTCGTAGAAGTTATTTAAATGAAGCAATAGATGCATATGAAGGGTTTGACATTTCATCAGAAAGTGAGAGATTAGCGAGAATGTTAAATGTTAATATTGATTTCTATTATTGTGATCCTCAACCAGAAGACGTGGACATAAATAAGGTAGACTTTCCATTAGTGGAATCAATAATGATAGATCCAGAATTTGAAACAGTAAATATTTTATTAACACAGAGTTCATGTGGAAAACTTCACGCTGACAGAATAACAGACGTAGAAGCACTCACCGGCTATAAAGTTTGTCCATTTTGTAAAGAAGAAGTTTTTCTATCCGTGATGACCAGAAAGGAAAAACCAAAGAAGATTTTTAAAGCATTGTGAGAAATGTAAAGAAAATAATGGAGATTAATTCAAGACGTTCAATTGCAAAAGACCAGCAACCATATGCACCACATATTACGAAACAGAAGATATATCAGTGGTTATTAGCTCACAATTTGCAGGAATATTATAAACCGACAAGATATTATATTACTTTTGACTTTGAAACATTAGAGACTAAAGAAGAATTACAACTTTCTGAGTGTGCAACTTTGAATGCTTACTTAAAACCATTCATGGTATCATCAACGGTTAAATTAAATGATAAAACATATACGAGGAATTTTTGCTTAACTTCGAGTGATTCTTTTATTTCTGATTGGATTGAGTTTTTATTTTCAACCTGTTCATTAGTTGCTAAATCAAATATTGAACAATATGAAGAATTATTGAAGTCGCAAACGGTGGGGACTTTGTCTCATACATTAAATGAAAAACAGAAGGAAGCATTTAAAGAACTTCTAGATGAGGAATTCAATAAAGTGAATATCATAGGTTTTAATTCGGGAAAGTTTGATTTAAATTTAATTCTTCGTGATTTAAACACTGCAAAATGGAAAATAAAATCAATGCTGGGTTCATCTTCACAATTTAAGCAAATCATTGTAAAGAAAACAAACGTTCCATATGAATTAAGATTTATTGACATCAGAAATTATATAGCGGGTGGGACATTAGACCAATTCACTCAAGATTTCGGAAACAATAAATCACGTGTTAAATCCTTTTTCCCTTATCAATTCATCACGTGGGAAAATTACGAAGAAGAATTATATAAAGTGGAACCATTCACTCAAGATTCATTTTATTCAGCATTAACTCAAGAAACTATATCAGATAGTGATTATCAAATATATCTCAATGATGCTAAAAATTTTAAGAATAGATTAGAATATTTTATTCATTATTGCAATAAAGATGTTGAAATTATGATTGATCCAATCGATAAAATTATTGAAGAAACATTTGTTTATAAAATTGACACGCTTCATAATCTTTCTTTACCATCGAATGCTTCAATGATTCGTTACGCTTTAGCATATAAAGACTTTAATCCTAATGAAAAATATCCTGAGGAAGAGATAGAATCAGGTTTTGAATTAACGAAAAAGTATTGGAAATATAAAATTGAATCATCTAAGAAACAAGATGAAAAAGCAGAAAGGGATACTAAAAATAATGTTTCAATGGATGATTTTCAATACTATCACGATTTAATCCTTTCATCTAAATGCAAAATGTGTGGTAAAGCGTTTACATATGCAAATAAACCAACATTGGATAGAATCGATAATGAAAAACCACATACCAAAGAAAATTGTCAGTTAATGTGTTGTTATTGTAATGTCGTAAAATCAAATAAAGATGAAGATGTTCAACGTTTAAGAATCAATTTAAGAAATTATGCATTAAAAAATAATTTACCAATGACTTTAGATTCAGTTGAAGCTTATCACATTCTCCGTAATGGAATTACTGGTGGTCTATCAAATGTTCAACATAGAGTAAATCTTAAAGGAATCACGCACATTAATAAACTTTCATATAATCCAGAAACTAAAACTGTATCAAATGAGGACACCACCAACATTATGACTCATTTCGTTGGTGTTGATTTTAATTCATTATATCCTTCATCATTTTCATCTAATCCTCATGATTTCATTCAATATACTGACCATAAAATGTATATGCCGGGAAGATTGAATGGTGTTATCATTTGTGATATAGCAACAAAGAAAGCAAAAGCACTGGGAATTATTAGAAAGAAAAATACTTTATTCGTGGCTGAAGTAAAGGGTCACATTGATGAAAAATACATTAATGATTACATAAACTTTTTACCGATAATAAGAAACTTAGATATTATCACAGATGAAAAACAATTGGTGGTTTTATGTATAATTACATGAAATCAAACAATCTACCAGTTGACCAGAAACAGAGGAAATTAACTCAGTTAGCATCAACACACAACCAATATCAACCATTTTCTTCTTATTATCTTTGGTATCTAATCGACAGATTTCATTTTATCATTGATGATATTCAATCAATTTTAACATTTACTAAAAACACTTGCTTTAATGAATTTGCGAATGAATTTATGAACGAAAGACAAAAGGCTGAATTAGAAGGAAATAAAGGAAAAAGTTTATTTTGCAAGATTTCACTTAATGGATCATATGGTTATGATGCAATGAATACACAAAATTACACAAAGACTAAAATAATGAATGCACAGAAGGCACGCGTTGCATGTATGTCAAATAAGTTTAAAAACATAAGAGAAATAGGAGAGGATACGTATCAACTGATGCTCAAAGATAGATTTTATAGATGTGATTCATGTTTACAAGAGGCATTCTTCACTTTAGATAACGCTAAATACTGGTATTTGGTTTTCATTTATGATTTTATGTATAAATGCATGAATGTTAATCGGTTTCATTTCATTGAAGGTGATACTGATTCATCTTATTGGGCAATCGCTGGCGACCCAAATCTTCCTAACACTCAAGCATTTCAAGCGATTGTAACCGATAAACAATTTTATGATAAAAACATTTTCAAATTCGCACCTTTTGATTTCTTCTGTTTTGATGAGAAATTTAAACCTAAATTAAAGAATAAAGCTGAAGAAAAAGCGCATGAGAAGAAGTTATTGGGTTTAGCAATTGAGAAACAAGGTGATAACATGGTTGCTTTATGCCCCAAGTGTTATACATCATTCAACGGTTCAATTGATGGAAGTGATTTTAAAAAGATTGCACAAAAAATGAAAGGTGTTAGTTTACGACAAAATAAACAATTTACACCTAAAAATTATTTGGATATAATAAATGATAAAGTGATATTTGATGGTCAGAATATTAATTTACAACTTAAAAACGGGTCAATGACTCGCTTAACAATTGGTAAGACTGCATTAACAGGAGCACACACTAAGGCTGTATGTTGTGAAAATGGATGTTGTATGCCATTTATTTAATACAATTTAAAATTTTATTTTTAATGAAATGCCACAGAAGAGACAAAAGGAACCGTTAATAATGGTTTTGATTCTTGATCAAAGAGGTGGGCGCCCTTAAAACACTTATTTTATTTTTATATAAATGGATAATGTACATTTAAAAATTTTAATTGATGATTTAGTACTTAATCAAAATTTTCTTACTTATTATGAATTAAAATCATATCTCCAAAAATATGATGAAAATATAACGGGCGATGATATGGATTATTATTATCATTATTATAAAAATGAAATTTTGAAATATCATGATAAAATAATTTCTAAAATTAAAGACAAAATTAAAAATAATGAATATGCAAAGGGAAAAACTAAATCACAACTTAAACAATTGAAAGATTTCAAAAATAAAGTATTAACAGAAGAAGATATTGATGAATTATATAATTTATATAATCCTGAGCTGCAAAAAACAAAGGTGCAAAACGCCCAGGTCATTCAGACCATAAATGAAGCACAAGCTTTAATTTATGATTCATTAGTTAAACCATATTCAGCCCGACTTTTAAATGAAGATCAACTTTTGGAATTCATCCTTCAACATAAACTCGAAGCGGGAAAGTATATCAAACCTTTATATACAGCATATTTAAAACAAATGAATAGAATACATCCAGAATTAATGAAAGGGGGAATGAAATCCAAAATCAAAGCAGATAAAATTAAACCACTTGCAATACCAAAACCTCCAACGACAGTACCTCCTCCTTCAGTTAATCCTTCATCATTCACTTTATTATATCCATTTCAAACATTAAAGAAGCAAAAAGATTTTAAAAAGGATTTCAAGATATTAAATAAACCAATTGACCCAAAAATTCAACCGTTAAAGGAAAAATTTAGTCGCCCTTCATTTGCACCATATCCATATTCATACGAAATCGATCATTTAGAATATTCAAAAGGAAACGTTACTTATTTATTCGCCATTAACATTAACACTAGATATTTATATTGCATTCCGGTGAAAGGGAAAACAGAACAGGAAACAAGAAGAGTTATACAATACTTATTAGATCATGAAAGAGTAGATAATATAAGGGGTGATGGTGATAAAGGATTTCAGGCAGCTATGGCTCATTATTTCCCACAAATTAATTTTTACTTTTCATCTTCTCCATATACGTTTCATAATAAAATAGTTGATGCGGTAATGAGAACTCTTAGAGATACGTTAGGAGTTAACGGTCAGATATACTGGGATGGAAATCATGACTCCATCATACAACAGTTAGTATATTATTACAATAATACATGGCATAGAACTATAAACATGAAACCAGTGGAAATGAAAAATGATATTTCAAAAGAATGGGAATATATTAGAAAGCAAATGGAAAGGTTAAATGATGTTAAACGTGAACAAATTAATTCGGGGCTCATGAATTTTAAACAAGGGGATAAAGTTTTGATTCATCTCGATTATGGAAAAACTGATAAATCAATGACAAAAAGAAGACGAAGATTTGACACAATAGCTGAATTTGTTAGATATATTAACGGTAATGTATTAGTTGAGGTTAACAATAAATTAATAGAAATTCCGATTTATTTTATTACTCCATTATATTTAAATAATATTTAATTTTTTTATTTCGTAAGAAATGAGTGACAACGAAGCAGCCAAGAGTCCGGACAATGAATATAAAAAGAAACTAAACAAAATTAAATCAAAAATATGCTATTACAAAAAGAAGCCGCAATGTGGTGTGGCTGAAAACGATAAAGAGAGGAAAGAAATAATCGAAAAATTAGAAACTTACCGTTCAATCCTTAAACTGGGTGAAGCAAAAATAAAAGAATTTAATAAAATAAATAAATTGATTGGAAGAGATGAATTTAATAAAGATGAATTTTTAAACTCAATCCAAATTTAATTTTTTCAGTGCTACCATGTTACCATGTGCTACCAGGTCAATTAACTTCTCTGAAAAATGATGACAACATGACATTTTGACAACAACATAGGAGGAAGGTATTTATGAATTATTTTTGAAGAACTGAAGGTGCTACCATGTTACCATGTGCTACCAGGTCAATTAACTTCTCTGAAAAATGATGACAACATGACATTTTGACAACATCACTGGAGGAAGGCATTTATGAATTATTTTTGAAGAACTGAAGGTGCTACCATGTTACCATGTGCTACCAGGTCAATTAACTTCTCTGAAAAATGATGACAACATGACATTTTGACAACAACATAGGAGGAAGGTATTTATGAATTATTTTTGAAGAACTGAAGGTGCTACCATGTTACCATGTGCTACCAGGTCAATTAACTTCTCTGAAAAATGATGACAACATGACATTTTGACAACAACATAGGAGGAAGGCATTTATGAATTATTTTTGAAGAACTGAAGGTGCTACCATGTTACCATGTGCTACCAGGTCAATTAACTTCTCTGAAAAATGATGACAACATGACATTTTGACAACAACATAGGAGGAAGGTATTTATGAATTATTTTTGAAGAACTGAAGGTGCTACCATGTTACCATGTGCTACCAGGTCAATTAACTTCTCTGAAAAATGATGACAACATGACATTTTGACAACATCACTGGAGGAAGGCATTTATGAATTATTTTTGAAGAACTGAAGGTGCTACCATGTTACCATGTGCTACCAGGTCAATTAACTTCTCTGAAAAATGATGACAACATGACATTTTGACAACATCACTGGAGGAAGGCATTTATGAATTATTTTTGAAGAACTGAAGGTGCTACCATGTTACCATGTGCTACCAGGTCAATTAACTTCTCTGAAAAATGATGACAACATGACATTTTGACAACAACATAGGAGGAAGGCATTTATGAATTATTTTTGAAGAACTGAAGGTGCTACCATGTTACCATGTGCTACCAGGTCAATTAACTTCTCTGAAAAATGATGACAACATGACATTTTGACAACAGTTCAGGAAATATGATGCAGCCCAAAAATAAAGTTAGTTTTAAAATTATTTTTATTTTTTTATTCCTATATAAATGACAGCAACAAACAACAACAGCAACTATATCGTTTCTGATGAAAAAGTTATTGATTCATTAGTTGAGGAATTAGTTGTGGCAGAAACTAAAACCCTCAACGAAAGAATTGGTGAAAACATGATTGATTTACATAACTACCTCAAACATGATGGAGGAAGAGGAAGGAAAACTGGTATGGCTTTATTAGTAAATAAAATTTCGAATTTAACGGTTATAGATGTTGATATTAATAAATCGTACAATGATGAACTTAAAGAAACAGTTAGAAAAGACATTTTATCAAAACTTTCGGATAAAGATGTTATCGTTAAAACCGCTTCAGGAGGTCTTCACATTTATTGCAACACTAATTTCTTCTATGCAGTTTCGAACAGAATGATTAAATGTTATTCCTGCAATGATTATGATATTGATATCATGACTTCTATGGATGATTCAAAGCGTTCATTAGTGGTTATGGCTGATTCAAGAGTTCGCATGAATGCAACAGAACCAATCAATACATACTCATTCATTCGTGGAAGTTATGACTCAACATTAACTAGAACAGTGAATGATATATTAAATGATTTGAATATTAAGGTAAAAGTTGAACAGAAGAATGAAGAAATAAAGAGTATAATGAATGAAAACAAAGATGTAAACATTGACGATAAACTTGCCCAGAGCATAGTTGATGGCATCTGTGATTTTGAAGTACATAATGACGGTGGAAACATGAATTTAGAAAAAGAAATAACATTATTCACACTGTTTCAAGCAATTAATTCGTTACCTAATCATTTCATTAATGAAGCATACGATAACGTTTATAACTTCTGCAGTTTAACAGAAAATGCAAAAAGTAATTTGAAAAAGCACGTAGTAGATATGCACATTTAATGACTTCTCCATTTGTTTTGGTGAAGATTCTAAAACTATATCAAAGGAATATTATATGATGAATATGTTTTGCCTTTATTACGTAAGCCAAAAATAACATTTGATATCAAACTTGATGACTCGTTTTGATAACAGATATTAGACGCAAGGCTGAAAATCATCAGTATAAAAACAGTTCTGAAGTAATTGAGGATTTATCACGTGTAATCCATTTTGTAGATTGTGGAAATAAATACTTCATTCAAAAGGACTATAATATCCACGACAAAATGAATCAAATATCATTCGTTCTTCAATCAAACATGAAAGAGTCACTCAAAATGATTAAATTATTTAAAGAAGAAGGTAAAACAATAACAGCATGGGATGTACTATTAAATCAATTGTCTTCATTAACAGTTAAGGGTGTTTGCTTTAAATCTGATTCCCCAGATGTTTTCTCAACGTTTCAAGGTTATAAATACAACATTCCGAAAAGCCTGATTACTCAAAAATTGAGATGTTTATGAATTTCATTAAAGAAGCCATTTGTGATAATAACGATGAAGTGTATAAATACCTTCTCGGCTGGATTGCATCAATGATTCAACATCCTGGAATCAAGAATGAAACAGCAATTATTTTGAAAGGACTTCAGGGAACAGGTAAAAACAGATTTACAGATATTATTTCTGAACTTCTTCGCTGGTTATTCATGTAAAAACATTACCGAAATAGGTGAGCTAACGGGTAATTTCAATTCAGTAGTTGAGAATAAAATGTTTCTTGACTTAATGAACTCAAGAATGTAGGTGAAGATAGACTCGCAAACTTCAACGCTTTGAAATCAATTATTACGGATAATGAGATTAGAATTAATGAAAAGAATCAACCCAGAAGAACAGCACAAAACGTTGCAAACTTCATTTTGGTAACTAATAACGTTTACCCTGTCAAAATTGAAGTTGGAGACAGAAGATATGTAGTTTTAAGAATTAATGGTAAATTCAAGGGTCAATTTGATTACTTCAAGAATTTAATGAATTCATGCACTAAGAATTTATGATAATT